GGGTACTGGGCAGGCTCTTTCAACATTTGGGATCACATTTCAGGGTGCGGTTTGGGAGGGGGGGCATCCAGTAATATACTATAACTATACTTTTTTTTTTTTTTTTTCCCACACCCAAGTTTGTTTACTCCACTGTAAATATTTTTTTATTTCAATGTAAAGCCAAATGTGGTCATTTTTGTTTTAAAGTGTAAAGTAGAAAAATGGAAACTAACAACAGAAATAGGCATTTGGAGTTTGGGTATTTAAAATGCTAAATTGTGGGATGGATTACTGTTGCTGTGCCAGCTGGGTCATCCAACATTTTGTGTATGTGTGAAAGGAAGCGTGATACAGTGAATCCCTGCAAAGAATAATAAATTCCCTTTGTCTTAGTTTTTATGCAGTTTTTTTTTAAAAATAACTGTATTTATGTTAAACTGTCACTCATCATCCTGTAATTTATTGGATGTACCTTCTATGTTTTTTGAATGCCTTTGTTTCTCAGTTGTTCAAAGCCTGTCCACCTTCATCGTTATTCAATACTTAGGGCTTTCAGTATCCTGCAAAAATAAATTGCCAATAGTGTGATGTCACCTTTTGGATTTTTTTTTTATTTTTATTTTTTAAACCTCCAGAAACCTTGACGATGTCATTAAGAAGAAAGCTTAACTGATGCAATTTGCAGGGATTTGTAAATAGCAGTGTACTGTGTGTAATTACCTTTGTACAGGCCACCATGACCCAGTGGCATTGTAACTGTTGGGTTGGGGATGGTATGGAGAATGAGCCTATTTGGGGGGGATTTCACTTTATGTATTGTGTACTGATATCATGTACAGTTCTTAAACACTCTTTATTTACAGTATTTGTGTATATTTTATGAAGTAATAAAAATTAATAACGTTGCTCACAATTTCTGACTTTTCATCATTTTGTTAGCGGGTGCTGGGTGTGGATATAAAGTTGCATTATGTTCAATGGCCAAGCACGGAGAACGACAAAGGCGTGACTGCGCATGCGCTGAGCGGAGTTGCTGCTGTTGATACAGAGAACTGCTGCTGCTGCTGATGTGGGTGAAATAACGGTGTTAGTAGCCCATTAGCATTGGATTGGAAATGGCAAGCTAATACCAGTTATTTTCTCAGTTTACACCTCAGCGTCGTGTTTTATGTAAAGCTTTCTAAAACCGTGTTATACGTCTTTGGTTTGTCTCTACTGGAAGAAGTAACTGCTAAGTTTGTGTTAGGCTAGAAAAGGGCTTGCTAACACTGGTTAGCAGCTGAGGTCGGCGTCATTAAAGCTCAGCTGTCGACTCTTCCCGCAGAAGAAGCCAGTTTCCGGAATTGAAAGAAAGATGCAGTGATTACATACGCGAATTTCCCTCGTTTGAATGTAATAGCTTGGCTCGGTAACTTTTTATACTCCCGAAAGGCTCGAGATTGGATTCGAGACGATGAGCTAAGTTGATGCCTGGATTCAAATCGGCGCACATCAAACAACTGCAGAGGAGGTAAGCAAAGCGGCAGCACGGAGTCAGGAGCGCCGATCAGCGGCTGTAATTTTCCGCTTTTGTTGTGTCTTTCCTAATACTCATAACGGAATGGCTCGAACACCTTGTCATAAATCAGCATTTGTGTGCTAACTGTTATCCCGCCTGAATTTTTCACCTGTCTGATATTGCATGTATAGCACGGCGGTGTGCACTGATACGAAGGTTGAAAGCTGGGAAGCTTGACTTCTCGTCCTTTGTGTATTTTTTTTAAATCTGCTCTTAACACTATAAAAATGACTTGTAACCACTGCTGAGTCCTGTTGTGTTCACTTCATCTGGCTGAACACAGCCTCGGTGCCCTGGTGTGTTACAGTATGTTTCAGACAGCTTTCCTGGCCTGAAGTCTTAATTCTTGTCACAAAGACTGCCAATTCGATTGATGTCGAAGTACAATACATGTTTTGAAATCTTTCCCCGGGTGCAGTCAGCAGGACTGATGATCTGCTTTTCTGTCTTGTCTGTGGCCCACTGGGAACCAGCGAGGTGTTATTGTAAGTGCAAGGTGCTGATCATCTCCATTGCGTATGCACAGCAGTGAGCACAGACTTTAATATGGATGATATGCAGATAATTTGTGTGTGTTTATTTTAACATGGCATGTTTAAACTGATTTACATTGACTATAAATAAACTCATTTTCTAACTATTGACTTACCAAAACATGGCAAAACCAAACATAACATTATCATTTTGGACATAGATATTCAGCTGTTAATTCAGCGTGATCCTGATCACACTGAAATATGGACCTGTCAGCTTCTTTAATTACTCACATAATAATATTTACTAGTACAACTAAAATCAATAATAATAATACTAATAACAATATTCTACTTGTGTCTTTGTGGTGGTATTAAAAACAGGCAAATCATTTAGACTGAATTGTCTGTAGGGTTCTAAATTTATTTCTGTTTTTTTTTTTGTTTTGTTTTGTTTTGTTTTCAACTAAAACATATTCTGGGGTATGTGTGTGAAAGCGAGAGAGTGAAAGAGACACACACTGGCTCATTCCCAGTTGCTGCATTGCCACAAGCTGATTTAGGCTTTGGCAAAGTGGCATGAGTCATCCATGACAACACTGTGCAATCACCCTATATTTAGCTGGTGTTTCAGGAGGCTTTGAAAGTAATTGTGAAATTAGTTTTCACTGCAAACTATTAGATTATTGCCTTCCTGAAAATCTGTGCCAAGACATTGACGTAGGTGGAGAGATGACGGTTGCAGGGAGATGTAATTTGATGATTGGGGGCGGGGGAGTGTAGCAGAGCATCTGTCTCGATGTGTGTGATGTTGTGAGTGCCGGTTTGGCCGGTCGCCTGTCTAGTTTTCACTTGTCCTCATCAGTCCTGTGTAATTATGAGATGAATGCCACTTCTGCAGCTCATAATTATGTCATTATGAGCTGCAGAAGTGGTGTAGTCAGGCAGCTGTGGGGAGTTTGTGTGCTCCCTCTGTGCCTAAATCGGTTATAGGTGTGAATGAGAGCATGGGTGTGTCTGGCCATGTGATGGGCCTGTTCAGGATGCACAGCCTGGATACCCTCCAGCCCCCAAGATTCTGAGGCTGTTCCATTAGTCTTGTGGAATAGAAACTTCAGAACACCTTTATCCATTTTCCTAATGTGCATTTGCGAGCAGTTGTTTCCTCAATTTCTACTGCTTTCAGCTTTCACCAACCACATGCAGCCACAGGCATGATCGTGTTAGTTCTGCTTTTTTTTTTTTGACTAATTTGTGCAAAGGTGTTTCACTACTCTCATGAGATATGCTTGTTCATAGTGCTATTTCTAGCTGCACTCCACTTCATTCTGCCCAGAGCAGAGCACCGGGAACAAGAAGAGGAGAAACTGGGTCACCAGATCTTATGGATCTGTCACTGTGTGATTTAGGGATTTTTCAGCCCTCTGCTCCATGTCTTGTTGTGTGTGGTTTTTGCCCGTTTTCACCAGTGCCTCCTCACCCGCCTACCTTGTGCTTCCTCTTTTCACTCCTTCCATTTGATCTGGTTTCATCCGTCTGCCAGCCGTGCAGTGTCATTTGCACTTTTTTGTGCAGTGTCCTACTTTGCTCTGCTCTTTATCTTTTGCTGTTTTCTCGTTCCAGCTTCGGCAGATATTGGCATGAGATTTAGGTCGTTGGCCGCACGAGCCCACTGAGATGCTTTTACACATCAAGAGTGTTTTATTCAGGCTTTACAAACTGGAACATGATGTTCTGTTGATTGATGCATGCTATTAAAAATGTCGAGGGTAAATTAAGTGTGTTACAAGAAGCAAATTTGTTGATGAACTGTCCTTTCTTCATTCAGATGAGTCAGCTTTGGTGGAGAGTCAAGCGGCTGTCAGAGAGGTTGGAGAATGACTCTCCTAGCGGCCTCACCCTGGGGTCCCCAGCCACTACAGCCCCACAAGGATCCAACACATCATGGGTGCCTAAAACCCCAGTGGTAACACCAGATGAGCCGATTTTCCTCATGACCTCCACTGCCCAAACTATATCAGGGTTTTTTGTTTGGACAGCTCTTCTGATCACATGCCACCAGGTAAGCAGAGTGGTTAAATGGTCAGCGGGTTTAAATGAAATGTTCCACTAACAGCTACCTGTGAGAGGGTAAACTGTGATCTAAGAGGTTAAATAATAATAATTACAGGGTTTTGAGAGTTCTTTCTACAGTCCAAGGGTATTTGGGAACCTGTTGACTATGTGGTGGTTTCACTAAAGGAATAACCAGGTTATGCTTTTTATTTGGTCAAAATATGTCAC